TGGAGGTGTTTAAGGAGAGGCTGGATGTGGCACTTAGTGCCCTGGTCTGGCCCATGTGGTGGTGTGGGGTCACAGGCTGGGCGTGATGATCTCAGAGGTCTTTTCCAGCCTCAACAATTCTGTGATTCTGTGATGGCACAAAGCTGGGTGAGAGCATAGATCTGCTTGAGGGTAAGAAGGCTCTACAGAGGGATTGGGACAGACTGGGTTGATGGGCCAAGGCCAACTGCACGAAGTTCAGCAAGGCCACATGCCAGGTCCTGCAACACTACAGGCGTAGAGAAGAGCTGGAAAAGGACCTGGGGGTGCTGGTCGACAAGCCAGCTGAACATGAGCCAGCTGTGTGCCCAGGTGGCCAAGAAGGCCAATGGCATCCTGGCCTGTATCAGGAATAGTGTGGCCCGTAGGACCAGGGAAGTGATCGTCCCCCTGTACTCAGCACTGGGGAGGCCGCACCTCGAATTTTGTGTTCAGTTTTGAGTGCCTCACTGCAAGAAAGACATTGAGGTCTTGTAGCGTGTCCAGAGAAGGGCAATGAAACTGGTGAAGCGTCTAGAGAACAAGTCTTATGAGGGCAGACCTTATCGCTCTCTGCAACTACTTAAAAGGACATTTTAGCGAGGTGGGGGTCCATCTCTTCCCCCAAGTAACAAGCAACAGGACAAGAGGAAATGGCCTCAAGTTGTAGCAGGAGAGATTTGGATTGGATATTTGGGAAAATTTGGTCACAGAAAAGGTTGTCAAGCACTGGAACAGGCTGCCCAGGGAAGGGGTAGAGTCACCATTCCTGGAGGTATTTAAAAGACACATAGACGAGGTCCTCAAGGACGTGGTTTAGTGGTGGACCTGGTGTTATTAGGTTAGCAGCTGGAGTCACTTTACAACTGAAAAGATTCTATGATTCTACAATTCTATGAGAAAGGACATTTAAAGCACTGCAGGTTAGCTTGACCTTACACTTGCAAGTTCTTCCCTGCTTGCAGATGCCTGCATCCCCGCTGAGGACTTTTGAGGGGATGCAGGGTAAGCAGCCTTCATATGGGTATGAGAGTATACATGGATCTGTTTACACAATCAGGAGATGCAGGGGGGTTCCTCCAGTGACTTGCTGTTTCAGAACACTTTTATCTAGAACTCGAATCAGGAATCCAATAAAGCATCTTGGATTTTAGTCTTTAAACATTCTGCTCTTCTCCACCATTTCCAATGTTTTTTCTCTGACAAGGCACGTGGAATTACGATTCAGCTCTGATCAAAACACCCATTTTCCTTTGCTAAAATGCATACTTAATCCCTATCAGAAAATCTGAATGACAAATCAAATCTATTTCTCATAATATTTTAGAAGTTAAATAAACAATAAAATTCAAAAATATAAATTTTAAATCTTATCACAGAACTTCCTAAACATAAATTCAGCTTCCTTTCAGGAAGTATCTTGTAAATAATCTGCCTGTTTCAAACAAGTATTCAGGAAAAGTCATGTTTAAGGACACACTACTGTCCTACTATTTCACAGCAGTTTTAGCAGCACCTTCTGTGGGAAATTGCCAGAGAAAGCACAGTTTGGGTTCAGCCAAATTACACAATAGACGCATTCAGTTTTCACTCAAGTTGGCAAAGGCTTCACACCTAGCCACAAGCACAGCAAGACCATTCTCCCAGCATACCCGTGAATTTTCTACCTCTAGCAAGCTGACCGCTGACACGCTGCCCAGTGTGGCTGCAGCTCCCAGAAACAGAGCAAAAACCACGAAGAAGTCATCATGCTGGAAGTCATCATGCTGGAAGTCAGCAGCTCAGATCTCATAACATACCTAGATGCAAATGTGACTTGTCAGTAAGGAGGGAGAATTGAAGCAACAGTTCCAAGGGACCTGCCACGGCCTCACGGAGTTGTGTTTTTCACAGTCGAGGTCAGACCAGGCTTAACAAGAACAAAGCAAGGTTTGGAAAGGAGGACTTAGGAAGAGTCAGTCCTGCAAGATTACCTTTGTCTATGATCTTATAGGCCAAAGCGTCCTATAAACGGCACCTAAAACCTGGAGTCACGGAAGAAACAGGGCTGGAAAGGACTACCTTAATAGAAGCTTTGCCAAAGGATTTTAATGCCAAGAACTACTCCCCCTGCAACAAAATCCCTCAAAGGCTTCTGAATGAAGCCAGAAGGTTTGACCCTTAAGCCCTTGCAGGACAGAGGACAGTATGTTACAAGCCAAGCGTAATTCACAAGGAACGCCTTGGTGACAATGTGTGCACCCTCGTGACAACTGTAACTGTGGATGACAAGAAAAAATTCATCATGGTGCCTCATCACCAAAGGCCATAGAGAAAACAAGGTGTTGGTGCTGAGAAAAACAAACAAGATCCTGTACATCCTCTGAGCCAGTTAGCTGCAGTGTTCAAACATGTTAGAAACACGTTAGAAACAAACATGTCAGAAAATAGATGTTAAACAATCAATATCAATCACTTAAGCATTCTCTAAAGGCACAAAGATAAGGATCATAAATGAGTTTTGCAGTCATTAGGAACCAAAGATATCAGACAAGATAAAGCAGAAAGAAACTGCCGCTACTCCCAACCTATAGTCACGAAATGACAGCACAGAAGGATTAATTGAGACATGGCAGGACAGACCAGAAACACCATCTCAGGAGTCCTTGCTCAGTGCCTCAGTTTCCAACACTTTTGTTTCTTACAAAGTATCTTACAGGCTAGGACAAAAATATCAGTAAAGCATGCCTTTGTCTCCACAGCAGTGTTCCAACAATTTAATCCCCAGAATACCCCTATAATGACATTGACCCTGTATTCCAGCAGTATGTCTGTCAAAGCGTTTAGTAGCTACTTGTTTACTATGGAGGTGCTTGTTACGGTACCGCAGCGAGAGCTGAGCTGCCCGCTGCACATCATGCAAGAGTTCAGCCTGTTCTGTAGACTGGAACAGAAGAGGCTCTCCAAACACAGACCACTTCTCTGATACACGATTCAAAATATTCAAATCCCACTTTTTATACCGAGCCAAGAGGCAGCTGTTGTGTTTATTACGGAAGCCTGCTAGGTGGCTGCGTTATACAACTAGACCTTTGTAACTTGCAAACAATCCATGTGAGACGCATGAAATGTAACAGGCTCGACTTACAAAAGTTCCTGCAGTTTCTGTCAGATCACAGCACAGCATATTTTAAGATCACTCGCTGCTTGCCTTAGGAGGCCAAAGTGCATCAGACAACACTTTTCTGGTAAAGGCAGAATTTGCTGTATTATATCATCAAATTTGCCACCCATTTAAATGTTGATCAAAATTATTATGCTGATATTAAAGCCACCATATCATCAAAGAAGCTTTGGCAAACTTCAAAGGGTTTAATTCTTCAGCTGGACTGCAGACAACATAGCTTTATGCCCTCTGTTGTCACTTAGTACCTGGCAGATACAACATGACTGCATTTCGGTTTTTTATGTGTTGGTGGCATATAAACAACAAAGGAATTCCCTGCACATATATATTTTTTTTATTTCTGCAATTTCTTCCCTAAACACAATAAATATCCAGTTTATGCGCAATGCCTCTAAGTAATTGTTGCACTGCTGTAGTAATTAAGTTGTACAGTAGTTCACTGCT